GATTCTGTCTTCATCTCATTTTTTCTATTCATTCCTAAGTCATCATTAATTTTCAACATAATCAGTATTGTGTTATGCTGCTTTTTTTTGTTGTATTTTTTATTATTATTGTAAAATTTCACCATTATTAACACATTTCGTAGCAGAACATCATAGATCTTTCTATCGTTACAAAGTATTGACATTTTCAAGTGAACTTATAAACATCATTCTTTTACACAATGAACTATAATATGCATCACAGAATTCTTATGTTGATACACTATACATGTTTTTTTCTGCTCTCTTGTACCGATTGCAAAGATAATAACAACATTTCATCCAACGTCAAGTTCGGATATAAATCCGTTTATATTCGTGATGCACAAGTAATTTTTACTAGTTTTTTTCTTAACTATTGTTAACTAAGGAATTTATTTACTACCCGTTTTGCGAAATGATCAAACAGCTGAACATGTAATGAACAGAGATTTTCATCCATGAAAAGAATACATGGAAATTTGTCATAATATTTTGTGAGCTCTGATTTGTTTAGAAATCGTTGACATCATTTATTGACTTCAGTACGGTATTTGATTCATAATAGTTGTGACCATTTTGAGGAATTAAGAATTGATGATTCTCTACTTAATCAGCAACGAAGGGATATCAAATTCTACTGTTCTAAACTTATGAAAATTATTTCTGTGTCGTAGTCGACATAGAATCACTTTAATATGTATTATTGCATAGAATGTTTAGGTAATTTATCCGTCTCTTATCAATGTCAATTTTTATGCTCTTGCAACTACTCCCTTGCACACTGTCTATATTTCTCGAAGTTCTCTTCCGAACGCGGTAAGTAACCTATTAAAACATAATGGTTGCATAAACAAAAATAGATTGTTTATTTTTTAAAGGGTTTAGGAGTATTTGCCCGTCGTTTCATAGAAAGTCGCAGTTATTTTGGTCCTTATGGTGGCGATAAGCGCAATACTCATCTCATTGAAGAAGCAAGCGATTATAGTTGGCAAGTAAGAATGAAAATCGTTTGATACATCATTTTTTATATTCGTATTAGGTGCCAGATAAGTCAGGTAATATAATGTATTACATCGATGGAGGTGAACCTAACAAGTCAAATTGGCTTCGATTTGTTAATTGTCCTAATACTGTGAGTCAAGAAAATCTCATATCATTCGTGTGTAAGATGACATTCGTGCATGTTTTTTCGATGAAATTTGTTATGTTGCATTGTTTGTATAGATCATGGTGATATTTTCTACTTGGCAATTCGAAATATTACTGTTGGAGAGGAACTTCTAGTTTACTATGGACACAATTATGCCAAGAAGCTTGGTGTTGATACGACGCAGTTCCGTTAAGTCCTATTCATGACGTTGATCTACACATCGAAATAAAAAAGACTAATATTACAAACTATATTTTTGATTAAATAATGAAAGAATTTTTTCACTTCTCTCAAACTATGATCTGAGTCAACCTTAATGTATTAATCAATCTATTGATCTCATATCTCATTTTTCAGCAACCGTTTGGGTCTTGAACTAGAACCATCTTGAGGGTGGGTGTGAGGAGAGAATTAGTTTACATATCGATCAACTTACCTAGTTGAATATGCCATACTATTAATAATTTTAACTTTCAATATATTAATTTCTATCTGAATTTGTTTATCAACATAATTATCTTGAGAAAAATTGTGAGATAAAATATTTCATTTTAAATATTCATTTCAACTGACAAGATTTGACTATACTGTATTTGACTTTATTTCAATTTAATAAATGAATAGAATTCACAATAGTTTTTATTGAAATATTTTACTTTACAAAAAATATAGTTTATTTTAAAAAATTAGTGTAAAAAATCATCAGGTATGAATTTTGAGGGATGGGTGTGGGTTATAGGTGACTGAATGATAGTCTATTGATCCCCACACTCAGTTATATCCATAGCGACACCCACCACACTAACATCTATCCTCAAAATATATTCACACCCACATTCACCGAAATCATCAAAATTTTAATGTATTACAAATATTGTTTGGAGATAAAAAGGTAAACTGATAAGAGTTACTGCTTTCATATCTACCGTTGGAAAAAGAATCTTTTAAAATAATAAAATGTGCGCTTTTGCGCAGGTGAGCGTGGGCGTAAATATGCTTTGAGGGTAAAAACAAATTGTACTAAAGCAATAAAAGATAGAATTCTAGAATTTTCATAATACTCAAAAAATATAATAAGAATGTGAATGGACAAAAAGTTGCAGGATAGTTTATTATTCTAGTAGTATTCGTTTTAACCACCACCACTGGTATCAACTTTGATACCGGCGTAAACTTGTACGAGTTTGTCAAAACCAGCTAAGACACCAGCACCGGCAATACCTCTCAGAATATTGGCACCGGCTCCGTTGAATAATGAAATCACACCTTCATTACGGATAATTTGGAACATACAGTCCATCGATCCTTTATATTTAACAGCTTCACCTGATGTCATCATCATACGTCGTCGAATTGTATCAACGGGATATGAGATAAGACCAGATGTAACTGTTACACCATAACCGAGTAAAAATGAAAGCATGATACTAGCATCAGCACCAAGTAAATATGGTTTCAATGTCTCATAAAAACCGAAGTAACAACCACGATAGATGATAATACCAACACATGAAATAATGAAACCACGATAGAGACCAGCAATACCATCAGTAGCCAAGGTTTTCTTGTAGACATCAACAAGACCCTTGTATTGACGTTCACCACCACCTTTCTTGTTACTTTTAACATCATTAGCTAAACGTGTACGAGCATAATCAAGTGAATAAACAAAACATAATGACAATCCACCGGCTAGACCACCACTAGCAATATTTTTACCAAAGTTAACCATGAATGGATCATTTTTGTTTTGTTTAAACATTGATCTGATTTTATCTTTGAAAGCAAAATTCAAAGCCTGAAGTAAAAAAACATATTTTTTACAAAATAAAATTTAGATGCAAATAAATAAATAGACAAACCTGGGTGGGAAAGTATCGAATACAGTTTGCTAAATTTCCTCGCCAAAATGAAATAGTGCCTTCATTTCTGAAGGTTCGTACAGTGCAATCGATGACACCGTTGTATGGTTTAGTAATTAAACCTTTTTTAAGCAATGCATCTTGACTTTGTACGAGCAATTTCACACGCTCAATTGGAGCAGCAGCTGTTTTGGATACAACAGCAGCAACACCACTGAGCGCAAAATTTTCGATAAAGCTCAATTTTGGTTTGTCTTCCTAAATAGATAAAACATATAAATATAGACAGATAATATATTAAGGTCTTCCACCTCTTAAAAATCGACTTCAGATTTAAAATTATCCAAATGAACTGAAATTTTCAGCCTTATACCATGACGTTTTACAGAGATTACAAGACGAAGGTCTCATAAAATCGTAAAAAATCGGTGTCCATTAATGTTAGCCCGTATGTATGCATGTGTAATAAATAAAAAGAAATTTTAATATATTACACGACTTAAGATAGAAAAATGCGGGATGCATGATTGAAAAAGTGTAAAGTAAGAAAAACAGAGAAATATGTTTTGGTTTTTCAAGGAAGCAGATGATAGAACTTATCGAAATCTTTGCCTCAAAATACGATACACTATTTTTTCAGAAGTAGGTGGATCTTCAAAGATACTTACTGCCATTGCGCTTTATTAAATACGACGAACTAAAAGTAAAAAAATTTCCAAGTTAAAAGTTTCTTCTTTTACTTTCTGTTTTTATAGTTGTTTTTGATGATTCATGAGTCATAAAGCGCAGAAAAGTATCGAGTCAGACAGAAACACTCGGTTTCACCACGCAAAAGATAACTACTTAAAATCGACCTCCTCAAAAACGCGTCGTCTTCGACACTCACCTGTTTGTTGTGATTCTTTTCAAGTTATCTATATACCTCCTAAAAAAACAATTATAGTGATATCTATCGAAAAGTTTTATTTATTTATCCAAATACACAATGAAAGAATGTAGCTTGTAAAAAGACTTTTTAATTATTTTTCTATTATATGAATATAATTGAAAATGCTTTACATAAAACTAACTTGAGGGTAGGGTGAGTGTGAGTGTCAGTGTGGATTTTCGGTGAGTGAATGATAGTCTATTGGTCCCCATATTCATTTATACCCATGTCGACACTCACTACACCAACATCTATCCTCAAAACATATTCACACCCACACCGCACCTTCAAGATAACTGTATAGTTAAATTTTTTACTTTTATATTTATATTTCGTTACTTAGCAATATTTGTATACGTACCTAGAAATTTACAATATGCTACCTGGAAAATCAAACTTTTTCACTTATCTTTACTTAATTTTTAAAAAAATTAGTTAGCACTAAAATAGAAGCCAAAAATAGTCATACCTGGCAAGAGTTCGGGTGTATAAATGTTGTATCTAATGTTCATTCATACCCACTCTCAAGTTTTAATCGTATACTTTTGTTCAGTATTGATCAGAAATTTTTTACAAATGTCTACTCTAATATTCGCTCGATCTTTACAAATAGTTGTTGAAGGCTTTCAGTTTTTCGGACAATAATTTAGAAGGTTTCATTCTGCAGCTAATAGAGCACCAATTGAACAAATAATAAAATGAATGCATATTAGATCCTGTCAAAACAAACAGACTTTCCTCATGAAACCTTTACTCAGATCATCATCACGCAACACTTGAAACACGTTATTTTGACTTTCTATGAAGAAAATTTAGCTCGATTAGATATAAAGAAAATTTTATTGAAGAGATAATTTTAAGATTTTCTGGTTGGACGCTGCAATATACAGTAGATTTAGCTAATTAGTCGAGAAGAAGCAAATGTGTTAGTAGATAGTCATAGAGTTGTCATCGATATACGAATCTATGTCACCTCCAGCATGCAGAATGAATCTCATTTGATATTGGATTGATCTTGTTCCAATAGGAATAGGGTATGAGTTTGAGTATGAGACCCAACTAGAGCCAGCTGCCTGCTCGGGAGAAGTGACATTGCTCAGAATAGCACTGGACGCATCGAGAAAGTATAAGGCCACTGCGGTACCGTCGTTCGGCGTTTGTGGAACGACACGGGTCCAAAAGAGCAAACCGACGGTAAGAGTGCCTGAATCAATCTGCGATGTTGTGATCGATGGACTTGCAGTCATGATGACAATGGTCTGTGTGAGTGTGCCGAGGGAGCCAGTGTGTCCACTAAATTGATATGATCCCGTGCGAGGATTGTAACCCGAATTAAATGTGCCCATATCTAGTTGTGGGTTCGAGTCGCCACCCACCACCCAAGGCGAGAGCACACTAGTTTCTCCGCCGGGATTCGCCAGCAGGTTAACTATAAAATAAAACATATTTTTAACTTAGATGTTATGGCACGTCCTTATAACCTAACATATCACAAAATATAATATCAGTATTATTAATATGTTCGTTCTCTTCAGGTATTTTCTAAAGTATCTTTTCTTGATTTTTTCCTTTCTTTTTTTATCCCCTATTTCATGTGTTTTTTCCAACAATATATGAGGTCCTTTTGATTTATTCCATTCAGTTCTCAGTTAATATGTTATATAAATAGCTACAGTTTTTCTATATATATATAAAGGGTCCGTCTTACATCTCAGATAAAGTGTATATATATATATCAACATAAAACGTGCTTAACACTGGATTTATTGTCACCATTCCATCTGTCTTTTACATCAGAGATTGACGAAGCGACGATCTTAAAGATTCCTGTTGAATATTTTATATGATTACATCAAAAAAAGCTCTGTATTTTGCGAAACAGAAATCTCTTTATCAATCATGGATTATAACAGAAGTTTGGCTATCCATCAAACACACGATGAGAAGAAGCATTATATAGTTTAATTAATATATTTTTTAAGGGTGTCGCTGTGGGTGGGTGCGAGGTACAGAAAACACACCAACACCCATACCAACCCTCAAGATGCTTATCACTTACTAGGTACTGTGGTTGTAGTTGTTGTCGTGGTTGTTGTTGTTGTAGTAGTCGTTGTTGTTGTAGTTGTGGTAGTGGTTGTTGTAGTTGTGGTAGTGGTTGT